GAGGGAGGGCCTGGCGGTGCCTCCACCTGTGTCCCCTGGCCTGAGGTAACCGAGCTCTCCATCTACAGGTGTGAACGAGTCGCCGCTGATGACCTGGGGGGAGGTTGAAAATACTCCCTTGAGAGTTGAGGGATCTGAAACCCCCTATGTGGACAGGACGCCAGGGCCAGCCTTCAAGGTGGGTCACAGTGGGGGGCCCAGATGGGACCCTGGGTAGACACTCAGTCTTTGGAGCACTTGTGCCTTGATGCACAGAGGATGGTCTAGTTGCCACTGGTCAAAGCAGAAGCAACAGAAGGGCTGAGCTGTGCTCCAGGCTGCACACCTGTGTGTCGCTGTACTTCTGAAGAAGACCAGGGCACTGAGGACAGGTGTGGGGCGAGGGCACCAGAGCCACAACCCTGTGAGCCTGCAGGGTCGGGCCGGGAAGGGCCTCAGAACTCCAGTGTTCGGTGGGGTGTGCTTTGTGTCCTCTGAAGGTTCGCGTGCTGGCAGAGGACGGCCTCTGGCTACAGGAGGGCAAGCACCGGGAGGCAGCAGTCTTGTAGAATCTTCAAGAGTGTGGGGTCGTGAGGCCTGGAGCAGGTAGGGCAGGGAAGCTGTGTGCCAGGTGGTTGGTGGAGATGGGGTGGCCTAGGATGGCCCCAGAGAGGCTTTGAGAAGGCAAGGCACTCTGGTTTGCACACAGCTTGTTGGGGAAACTGAGTGGCTGGTATAGTTTGGAACGAGGTGGAAGAGAAGTTCCTGGATGCTGGGAGCATATGGTCCTGTTTTCGGGGTGCTGGGCCAGCAGTCCCAGCCTGGAACGCCAGGAGATGGCAGCAGGCAGAGGGCAGTGTTGTTGCGGAGAGCAAAGGGCGTGGGGTTACGTCACCTGCTCTGAAACCCCAAAGGGTCAGGCATGGAACCTGGAATTAACGTCGGTCTGCTGCTTAGGGAGCTGGGTTCGAGGCTGTCTTGAACCAGTCCCTCTAAACACTTGCATTGTGTAGTTTGAAACGCAACAGAGAAAGAGATCTCGCCAACTGTAGCGGCAGAAATTGAGGACAACCAGCAGCACCTTGGCTTTCCTTAGGAAACCATAGGCTAGTGCTGCGGGCTCGCAGAAGGAAAGTCGGAGGGTGTGGGCCACGCCACAGGCCTCCCTGGTGTAGCACCGCTCTCGTTTCGAGAGGGAACGCATGTCCACACAGAACACGTGCAAATCATTTTGGCACGTTGGTTCTTACATTTGTCTTGGACACGAGAATGACCAAGAAAAACCAGAGAGAGGCGGTGCACCAGAGGCACGGGGCTGTCAGGAGGCTGCCCTGGTCCCGGTGCCTACTGGGCAGCAGGGAAGAGCTTCCGAACAAACGTCCGTCCAAATCCAAATTCAGGGTATGTGAGCGACGACAGTTCAAATCGTGCTGAGCAGTAGACTGTAATCAGACACAAAGTGCCTGATGTGTATCGCAGAACGAGTTCCCCAAGTGGGAGAGTTAAGTGCAGAAAACAATACATGTGAACAATGAGAGGAAAATAGTCAATGCTTAATCTGGTGTGAAGGTAGGAGGGAGTAAACCAAAGAGGGAGGGTCACGAAGGCGGGGGGTGGGGGTGAGGATGGGCGGATAAAACTATACACAGTGGTAGACTTAAGTACAGCCAAAACCCCATCGTAAGTAAACGTGAAAGCGAGTAACAGAAGGCGTTTGTATGGCAGAGCTTTACAGAACTGATGGGGGAAAACTGTAAGGAAACAAACTAGCACTCAAATAGAAAAATAGGACAAGATCAATTTTGGGAAGTTCTGGGAAGAAATACAGAAGGTCAGTGGGGGTTAAAGTCAACAAAGGGTTTAATCCAGTAATCAGAGGGAAGCAGATTCAAACAAGACCCCCTTCTTTCCTAAAAGACCATCGGAGGTTCCTAAGTTGCACCGCTGGCTTTCAGGGAACCGTGACGACAGGTGGGAGGCCTGGGCCTTTGGCGGGTGGGCAGTTCAGGCGAGCTGGTCAGCAGCTTTTGGGGGCTTTTAGGGAGACAGCAGTGAGCTGTGAGGATCACAGGGCACCATGGGAAAGAGGCAGGTGCCCCAGCACCAAGGGGCTGGCTGGCTTGATGGCAGGCCAGCCACACACTTGCTGCCCTGTAGATCCTGGAGCCCGGCCGCAGGGAACGGTTGGGGCTGAAGATGGCCAACGAGGCCGCCGCCAAGAACCGGGCCAAGAAGCAGGAGGCCTTGAGGAGAGTGACAGAGAACTTGGCCAGGTGAGGGGTGCCTGACCTGCATGGGGTGGGCGGGGGGGGGGGGGGTCTCTCCCTATTCCCACTTGGCCACGGCCCCTGCTGTGTGGATGCACGGTGTGCAGGCAGGCCTGGGGGCTTTGGGGTGGGTCCTGTGGCAGCTCTGCTGGTCCGGGCACGGCCTGTATGAGCCAGGATGCAGGGCCCCTCTTCGTCTTTTCCTTCTTCAGCTGCCGCCTCAGCACATCCCCAAGAGGCACCTTTGGGCTCCTTATCCCGCTGTGAGCTCCTGTCAGCCCTGTGGAAACAGGTGGATCGTTCTCCTTGGAGAGAGCTGGGGTCCATCGCAGTCCCACGTCCAAGGGCAGCACCACAACTTGACCTTAAGTTTGGCTACACAGCTATGTGCTAGGCCATTGGGTGTCCTCAGCTCATAATGACCGTGCATCTCCCACGAGTGTTTGTGGGGCCATGGGAAACCCTGCTGCTGGCAGTGCCCGGTGGAGCCTAATGGTGCCTCTCTCCCCCCTCCCTTTCCACCCCAGCCTCACCCCCAAAGGCCTGAGCCCAGCCATGTCCCCAGCCCTGCAGCGCCTTGTAAGCAGGACAGCCAGCAAGTACACAGACCGGGCCCTGCGGGCCAGCTATACCCCGTCTCCAGCACGCTCGACCCACCTCAAGACCCCAGCTGGTGGGCCTCAGACCCCCACGAGCACACCGGCTCCTGGCTCTGCGGCACGCACCCCCCTCAGCCAGGACCCAGCCTCCATCACGGACAACCTGCTGCAGCTCCCTGCCCGGCGCAAGGCCTCAGACTTCTTCTAGAGCCAGGCCCGGGTCGGGCCTGTGGGAGCTTCGTGGAGCCTGCAGGGCAGCTGCCCGCTCAGCAGAGGACTCCGGCCTTCTGGGGACCCGGGCCCGGGCCAGAAATGGTGACTGACTGTCCCAGGAGCCACTGAAAATATGCCGTGCCTCAGGCAGGCTGGCATGAGACTTGCCCCACGGCCCTTGGGATGTATCCCAGGGTCTGGCAGATAACTGTTTTCTATCAGACCCCTGCCTCTTTCTGTCTAGCCGTCATTAAAGAGCACCTAGCACAGTCTGGCAGGACCTATCTCTCTGGCCCACTCTGCGTGGCCCTTAGGCCACCCTTCCCCCTATGCTGGAGATCCCCTGTACCACATTGTCGTCTCAGGACTGCAGGCCTCCCTGGGAGGAAGCTTCTGGGTGAGGTGAACTTGGAAGTTCAGGGTCTCTGGCCTTTCCCGCCACTCCTTGCATTGCTTTCTGTGGCCCCTCTAGAGCTTGGAACCTGCCTTCCACACTGAGCTCACAGCTCGTTGGGCCATGCTCCCCAAGTTCTTTCCCCCTGAGGGAAGGAGAGAGTCCTTGAAAGTTGGGCCCCTCAGGTTCCCCTGGGGCTCTGGGTCCAGGTTTGCAGCCTCAGCTGGGCCTGGCCTGCGTGGTTTGCTGGTGACAGAGTTGTGTGGGTCCTACATGTCAGACCATGTGGTCACTTTGAAAGTGGCCTCAATGTCACCTTCTCCAAGCACTTGGTCTCCAGCTCAGGGGGTCAGGACTGTCTTCTCTTCCTGACCTTCCCTGTCCTAGTGCTCCAGGCACCACCTTCATACACTGTTGAGTCACGAACAGGAGTTGTGGGTAACAGTAACCCAGGCCATACTGTCAAAGCAATGGGGCCAGGCTCCACGCAGACCCGAGAGTGCCATGTGCACCACAGGCCACAGGCCACACTTGCCTGTGACCTTGAGGGCTTTGGTGCCCCAGGAGGCCTGGGCCAGCTGCTTCACCTGGAGGTGGGAAGTCCAAGCTGGCTCCCAGATGGGTCTCTTCAGGTCTTAAGTGGGGTCAGGTCATGCTCTCTAAGGAGCTTGCACAGCTCAAGGAGACAGCCTGGAATCTGCTCGGACCAGAGTCTTTCTTTTGAGCATACCCAGCCCTGCCTGGGCCATGGTCTTGGGTTGTCCTGCATGGGTCCTTGCTGCCTTCGTGAGTGGTGTGTTCCCTGGAGGTTTGCTGGGGACAGTCGCCTGCGTAGGCACCCACTAGTCTGCACTCGACTGTCAGTTCTGCCAGTTTCCAGGGGGCCAAGCCCTGTAACTCACCAAGGGGGCTGGGACTGCACCAGGACCGCCCAGGGGGTCAGGAAAGTATGGCCATTGGTGCTCTTACCCCATAGGGAGGGGGAGGGGTGGACCACAGCGGCATGGAGGCAGACAGGTCTGAGTGGGTGGGAGATGCAGAGGGAGATGCTGTCTAGGGAAGGCCACTTAAGGCCAAGCACTGGCCGCCCCTGAACACTGGCTGGTGTATGGGGTGGATAGGGAGGGCTAAGGAGGGTGTGGCTGAGATGTCTGGGCCGGGACTGTTCTGGCAAATGAAAGGGCACTCGAGGGGCCAAGGTCACTGATCTCAACCACAGGAATGGAGGGAGCGGAATATATGGAGAAAGGGTCAGTCTGAGGGAGTGGGATGGTGTCGAGGTCAGGGTGGGCTGTGCTGGGCCTGAGCCAGACAGACACATGCCGCCGGCCAACCCTGGAGGTGCTGGGTCCGGGGTGGGTCAGAGGGAGATGGTGGGGGCCTGGCTGTGGGCTGCGGCTTAGGTCTTCTTGCCCACAGGGCCTCGCAATGAGTCTGCCTGTGCCCAAGCACCAGGCCCTGCACCCCTGTGCTGGAGACCCCCACGCCGCAGGAGGGGTGGTTGGCTGAGTCCTAGAGAAAAAGACTCCTCACGGGGCACTCTTAATGCTTGTACACACTTTGTGGTTTATTTGGTGGTCAGTAATTAATGTCTTTGCTACTAAGTGGAAGAAAGCTAATAGAACGTAATCAAAATAGTGGTTTAATTGACGGATTTTACTTGTTCCTTGCACCTGTGCCTTCTTCAGCTCCTACTGCCTATTTCGCTTATGTGGGCGCGCACCACGCACCACGCCCCCCGGGCCCTCCGCACCGCTAGGTGCTCGCTTTCCCCACCTCAGCTCCGGTGCCATGATGATCTTTTGCCTTGGAGGACTCGGCCAGCCTGTCCTCCATCTTGTCCTCGTTCTCAGGCACCCCCAGCAGCCGGTGCTGGGTTTTGGCCCCCAGCTTATGGTCCGGCCGGTGCTCAGGCCGTGAGCCTGGCCGGGTGTCCAGTTTGCATTCGGCTCGGTACTTGCCCTCACCCTCCCTCTTGAAGGAGGCCGAAGACATGGCTTTGGGCTTGGGTGGCTGCAGCCAGGAGTGGCTGAGGATCTCGTCGATGTGCAGCCGCCGGTTGACGTCCGGCTGCAGGATGCGGTAGATGAGGTCCTTGCACTCGCCAGTCAGGTTCTTGGAGCGGGGGAAGTCCACGCGGTGCTCCTTCTGGATGCGCAGCATCTTCTTGATGTCGGAGTCGTCGTAGGGCATGGAGCCGCAGACCATGATGTAGAGGATCACACCCAGGCTCCAGATGTCGTACACCTTGGGCTGGTAGGGGATGCCCTGCAGCACCTCGGGGGCCGCGTACGCCGCCGACCCGCAGAAGGTCTTGCTGAGGATGATGCGGCCGCTGCCGTCCCGCAGGCAGCGCTTGGAGAAGCCGAAGTCAGACAGCTTGATGTTGAAGTCCTTGTCGAGGAGAAGGTTCTCGCACTTGAGATCTCGGTGGACGACGTCCAGGTCGTGGCAGTACTTGACGGCTGAGGAGAGCTGACGGAACATCTTACGAGCCACGTCCTCGTGCAGGGCTCCCCGACACTTGATGAACTCCAGGAGGTCACCCTGGACCCCGAGCTCCATGACGATATAGATGCGCCCATCAGAGGTCTCAAAGATCTCGTAGGTCTTGATGATGGAGCGGTGGTTGACGGTTGCCAGGATGTCCATCTCCCGAGGAAGGAATCTCTCCACAAAGTCGGTGGGCGTCTTCTTGCGGTCGATGATCTTGACTGCCACGTTGAACTTCAGGCGCTCAGAGTAGGCAGATTTGACTTTCGCATACGACCCCTTGCCAAGATTGATGCCCACGATGTAACCCTTCTTCCTTAGGACCGCGGCATCGTCCATGGTGCCGGGAGCGGCTGGCGGCGCTGCGCTCTACATCCCCTCCCCCTGTGGGCCAGCGGGCATTGTCCTCATTTACACTGTGGGGAGCCGTCTGGCTGGGCTGGGCCTGGACTTGGAGGGGTGGAACGCTCAGCATTGTCCCCGCGTGACTTCAGCATGTGAAGTCATAAAGCCAGCCTGCCGGGAGTAGGGACTGAGCTGGGGGAACCGGGGCCCCTGGAACCCTGGAAGCCAGGTTGGCCTAGCAGGAGTGCCCACTCCCCGCCCGCTAGAAGGAAGGCGGCACCCAGGACTGCGGTAACCCTCCCTGCTCCTCCTCGATGCGGTTTCCTTGTCATGAGTCAGGCCCAAGGAAGGGCCACCCAGGTCAAGCCAGAGTGCCGGCCCCATGCCCGTTTCCTTCTCCTGTCTGTGTGGATTGACCCTGCATTGGCCCATGTCCCCCTAGGGCTGATGGCCCGCAGCTGCTCTGGAGTGTGAAGAAAACCCTCTCTAGGACTTGTGTCCTTGGAACTAGTAGTGCCTGAGAGGAATGGCGCTGGTCTGGCCAGCCTTGTGAATGAGAGCAGCTCCTATTCGGGGTGGAAGGCTGGGCAGAGGAGTGCCACTGTGGCAGGCAGGGCGTGTGTGCACTGGGAGGGCCAGCAGGGCCCTGGGCCCTAGACTGGCAGATGCGTGTTCCAAGGTCTGGGGCCTGCCTGGAGGCCAGGCAAGGCCTCAGTCAGAGAAGGTGGTGAGGCATCCAGGCAGGGAAGAGCCTGGGAGAGGTGATAGCGTGTTCTGAGAATTGCTCAGTCTTACTGTGGAAGGAGGGTGGAGGAGAAGGGAAGTGGCGAGCAGCCATTTCAGGGGGCCGGAAGAGCCAGGATCCAAGTCACATTTTAAGATGGTCCCTGGCAGAGTGTCTAGAGAATGGGCTTCATGGGGAGTGGAGGCCAGTGCCTTTGACCACACGAGAGGAGGCTGGCTCAGGGTGGACCTGCAGGGACTGAGCGGCAGAGGGAGACAGAGGGTTTGGTACGCTGACCCCTGAGTGGGCAGGGCCTTGGCCAGAGCTTTGGTCCTGGGGGTCCTCGTAAGATCAGGCTCGGGGACGGGGCGGGGGGGGACGGAGGTCCTGAATTATGTCACTCTGGACCTTTGTGAGGAGTGGGCATGTGGCCTGGTGGACCTCTGGGATTTACATCTCTCAAGCTATCTTTTGCACCAGAAAGCAACATGAAAACCCTTTTGTTTTTGCTTTGGGGAATGTGGCATCTTGTGTGTGTCTCCTTAGGTGCTCGGGAAGCCTTGCCGCTCCTTTGTTCTCCTTCACAGGCATCCTGTAGCCACACGTGGGCACGCCATGTGCTCTGTGTTCAGGGGAGAGGGGGAGGAGGAGGAGGCCTGCCTCTGTGTGGGTGGTCGGGAGAGGAGGGGATGGAGGGGCCAGTGTGCAGAGGATCTGTAGGGCCCCGCCAGGTTGATGAGGGGCAGGACACGCCAGGCAGACGTACAGATCCACCTGGGGCACACCGGGAGCTCCCTGCATCTGGAGGTTCATGTGGAAGCTCTCAGGGGCGGGGTGGCCGGCGTCTAGCCCCCCAGCAGCCACAGCCTCCCTGAGGCCTGCTCCCTGCTCTCTGGGGCTTCTGTTGCAGTGGCTTTGGCTTGATGCCTGCTCTCTCCTGGGATGTCTTTGGCAGCAATGACCAGAACCTTTGCCTCCTGGGAGGGGCTGGCTAGGAGGACTTACAGGCCAGGACCCAGGAGCATGACAGTCTCCTCGGCCCTTCTCCTGCACTCCCGAATATTCTATCTGGGGCACCCCCTGCATGTCGGCCTTTTTAGCTGACTCTGCTGACCCACCCGTTTCCCCCTTTTTTTTGTGGATTCTGCTTCCTCATATTATGCCCTTGCCCAGGGCCGTGTGACTTCTTTGGCTCCCGGGGGCCCGGGGTGGGGGGTGGGGGGGAGGAGGTATGAGCTGAACCTCTGGGGCGGGGAGCAGGTGGCTTCACCCAGCACACCCACACCGAGGCAGGCCCTCCTGGTGGGTTCCGGCAGGGAAGTGTTCCACTGGACCTGCAACCTCCAGGGTCTACTCCCAGCTTGTAGCCCTGTGCGTGCGAGAACTGGGGACTCTGTCAAGGCCACTTCCCTCAGAGTTTCAGTTTCCTCCATTTCTCCACTCACCCTATAGGCATTTGAGGGTTGGTTCCAGATGCTGGGATTGTCTGATGAACTAGACAGGACCCATGCCTTCCTGAAGCCCAGAGGACAGGGAGCTTCCATGTCACACCAACCGCTCAAATGCCCAGTGGCGGCAACCTTTGGCATGGGAACACGGGGCTGTGAGGGAAAAACTGGGACTGGATTTAGGGAGGCTGGGAGGGCTGAGGTCTGAGGAGTTTGCTACATGGAGGGGGACAAGGACCTGCTAGAGCTCATGATGGCTTGAAAGGACACAGAATGGTGGGAATGTGCAGGGAAGGGAGGGAGCCCTGCAGACGCTGGAGGCCATGGTGAGGGTCTTGATCCTAAAGCCTTAGGGAGGATCATCGAAGGGGTCTGATCCAGGGCTGACCCTGGGAGTGGCCCGGAACATGAGGCCACCTGGGGAGGAGTGGGCTTTAGTCACCTGGGCCACTACTCTGTGCTGTGTGATCTTAGGCAGTTGCCCATCCTCTCTGAGCCGTCTCTCTACTTGTAAAGCACACAGTAGATGCTCCTCCGTGGGGCCCCTCCTGCCCAGTCTTGTGTTCTGGCTAGGCTGTAGAGAGTTGCTCCCAGGCCCTCTTGCTGCGCATTGCCCACTACCCTGATGACCACAACAAGCCACAGATGACCAAGGCAAGGAGGTTCACAAGCTTGTCCTCAGGATGTCCTCATTCCAGCTAACCCCGTGTGCTCTGGAATTTTACTCTGCCACTGGATAATCTGCTTGATGCTGGGTTCCTGGGGTCTCTGGGGGGAAACTGGGCGACTCCCCCAGTATTGCGCAGGGTCGGTTCTGCGCCTGGACCTCAGCACTCACAGGCCTGCCCCAGAGGAGCTTAGAGTGATGGGCTGCTGAGCTCAGAAGGCTTTGTGGAGGCCACAGCCCCTCGGCTAATCCTGGAGACATGGGTAAGATCTACAGGGAAGCATCTACAAACACAATTATGGGACGTGTATCTGGGGGTGTGGGGATGAGGGAGGGGGGTGGGAGGTCAGGAGGAGGCCAGACTCGGGATGCCAAGGCCAGGCACTGGGATCCTTCCCGAGGGCCATGGGATCTGGACTGTGTGCAGGAGGGAGGCGCTGGCCACTCGGGGAATCATGGGGCGGGTCGAGGCCTGGGAGGTCGCTGTGCTGTGGGTTCATGACAGACACTCAGGAGCATGGAGATGGGAAGACATAGAACGTATGACGGAGGCTGTGGGGAGGGTGGGAGCCAAGCAGAGATGGGGAGTGGATGTGCACCGGGGCACAAAGAGAGTGAAGCCAGGGCACTCCCTGGACCCCACTTCTTCTGGGGCCTGGGGTTGGGGACTTTCCAAGTCAACAACACGGGCAGAGGGTGGGTAAGTCTGAAGGCATTCGTCCTCTTGGTATGTCAAATCTGCAGGTCCACATGAGGTTGTCCAGAGTGAGTGCCGAGGAGGAAGAGAAAGGGGCTGCCACAGCTGAGGTGAGGGGGAACAGCCTGGGAATGATGGGGGTGGGCCGTGCAGGGCACAGCAGCCCGAGATGCTAAAGGCAGGGCTGCTCCCTCTAAAGGACACTGATGGCGGCAGGGCACAGGCACGCATTGTGAGCACACCTGTCCTCTCTCCTCGCCAGTGTCAGCTTAGCCACTCTGGCATGGAGCATCACTGGGACCTGAGGGGAGGGGGATGTGGTTGAGACCACGCAGTGACTGTGGGACACATAGGCTGGGTGGGGCTGGGCCATCCTGAAGCCCCTCCCCTAACCAGCGACAATTCCAGGGTAGGGTGAGGGCCGCAGATATGACTACAGGCAGGATGACTCAGGAGGTGTCCAGAACTGGGTGCTGGCTGGCCATGGGGGAGCCCTGGTGGACAGAATGAAAGAAATGAGTTGCCTACCAGGGTGGGGAGCCCAAGAGGGGCTGAGAGACTGGTCTACTGGCCTCCTGCAGGCCGCCTCCCCACCAGCAGCCTTGGGGAGGCAGTGGCACTGAGATGTTGAGGGCCCATCTCCTGCCCCTCTGCTGCAGGCAGCCCCCTTGCCCCCTTGCCCTTCTTGGTCCTATCCTCTCCGTGCCCCCTTCCGCTCCCCAGCACCACACTCATGGCCTCCCTCTTGAAAGAGCATCTTCCTTGCTCAGCTTTCTGCTCTGGTCCAGGGCCTGAGGTCACAGTCAGGCTGGGCACATGGGGATGTATCTTCCCAAACTAGAGACGAAATGAGGTGCCATCCGATCCGAGAATGTGGGGCCGGGGTTGGGGAACGCGGGGAGCGTAGGATCCTCTCCCTGGATGACCACAGTCAGCTAGGGAAAAGACATTCATCTTGGGGTCTGCACTAATATAGTGATTTATTGCTCCTTTAGCCATGTGGGTTACCAAGTTCAAAGAGGGGAAGAAGAAACTGACGAAAATAGTGGCTCATCCAGGACAATCTTCCTTCCCTGCCTTGTCCCTTGATTTCTCTGGAGCTCAGGCTTAAAGCCATGAACTCTGCTTCATTCCCGGCTGGCCCCCTGGGCCAAGAGAGGCTCACTAGGTATGTGTCTGTGAAGGCTGTGGGAGGGCCTCTTCCTCTATCACTCTGCCGGGCAGCTCTCCGTTAAGGTCCATGGTGTCCGATTGCCTTGACACTGGCACTTGCAAAGTCTCCTCCTCGTCGGGTTTTGGCTCAGACTGTGTCTCGGGCCCTGCCTCCTCCCGGGGTTCCAGCTTGGTGGCAGACTTTTTGTCAGGGGTCTCAGGGGTCCGCGAGGGCTCAGCGCCCCGGGAGCTCTCCCCTTCCTTGTGGATGGCTGTAGAGGACAGGCCCCGCGCCTTGGGCTGCACCCAACAGTGGCTGAGGATCTCGTCGATGTGCAGCCGCCGGTTGACGTCCGGCTGTAGCATGCGGTAGATGAGGTCCTTGCACTCGCCAGTCAGGTGCTTGGAGCGGGGGAAGTTGACGCGGTGCTCCTTCTGGATGCGCAGCATCTTCTTGATGTTGGAGTCGTCGTAGGGCATGGAGCCGCAGACCATGATGTAGAGGATCACGCCTAGGCTCCAGATGTCGTACACCTTGGGCTGGTAGGGGATGCCCTGTAGCACCTCGGGGGCTGCATACGCCGCTGACCCACAGAAGGTCTTGCTGAGGATGATGCGGCCGCCATCGTCCCGCAGGCAGCGCTTGGAGAAGCCGAAGTCAGACAGCTTGATGTTGAAGTCCTTGTCAAGGAGAAGGTTCTCGCACTTGAGATCTCGGTGGACGACGTCCAGGTCGTGGCAGTACTTGATGGCTGAGGAGAGCTGGTGGAACTTCTTGCGAGCATCGTCCTCGTGCAGGGCTCCCCGGGTTTTGATGAACTCCAGGAGGTCACCCTGGACCCCAAGCTCCATGACGATGTAGACCTTGCCGTCTGATGTCTCGAAGATCTCATAGGTCTTGACAATGGAGCGGTGGTTTAGCATGGCCAGAATCTCAATTTCCCGGGGAAGGAATTTCTCCAAGAAGTCCGTGGGGGCTTTCTTGCGGTCGATGATCTTAACCGCCACGTTGAACTTCAGGCGCTCAGAGTAAGCAGATTTGACTTTTGCGTAAGAGCCCTCTCCCAAATTTATCCCCATGATGTAGCCTCGTCGTTTGAGGACGGCAGCGTCATCCATGGTGCCGGGAGCGCCCAGTGCCTCTGAGGCTGCCCTCTACATCCCTGCGGGACATGGGCCAGCTGCGTCCTCATTTACACTGTGGACAGAGAGTCCTCTGGGCTGGCCGGGCCTGCTGTCCCTGCCTCCTAGAGGCCAAGACTCTGGGGGTGGAACGTTCAGCATTGTCCCCCAGGTGACTTCAGTGGGTGAAGTCATAAAGGAGGAGTGCCCTGGGGGAATGAGGCTCTGGCCTTAGCCACTTGGACTTGGAACCCTGGAAGGCCAGCCAGGGGGGCTGGAGTGGACCAAAGGCCAGTGGAGAGTGGCCTTGCGCTTGGCTGAGACCTGAGGTAGGCGGGGGCTGTGGGGAACACATTGGTCTGCCGGTGCTTCCAAACAAGGAGCCAGGCCTCCTTGTGGTGTTGATTATTGCAACATGGGGCATCTCAGGAAATCTGGGCTGGATGGTCATTCTGAGTCCCAGCAGGAAACAAAAGACATACTCAAGTTGGGGCAGTCGGAGGACAGTTTAATGAAGTCATCTTATTTACAAAGGTGGGAGTGGAGTTAACAGTAGGGTACCCTAAGGGTAGTTACAGACCCCTGGAAGAAGGGAAGGTTGGTCACTGGAAATTGGGAAGGTATAGAGGCAGTGACTCCACAGGGAGGGAGCTGGGGCAAAATATCCCTGACCTCTTTTCCCTCCCTTCAGCTCTAGAGGGTCTTGGTGGTGTCTACATAGGCAGTCTGCAGGCTGTGCAGGAGGGCCAAAGGTGGAGGTGTTTCAGGAGGGGCAAAGACTCTTGGCCCGGCAGTGGCTGCAATTTCAGAAGCCAGGGCTTTGCCTTCTCCCTGCATGGTTGGGCTGGACTTCTCACGTTTCTCCCTCTCCATCTGAACTTTTGTTGGCCTGCTTCTTTAACAGTGGCTCTGCAAGGGGACAGCTGGCGGAGATATCTGCTCTTAGCTGTGACTTCCCTCCCTGGGGTCTGCCCAGCCTGTAACCTTGGCTGGGCTCCCTGGGCACATTGAAGGTTGGGCCTGGGTCTCTTCTGAGTGTAGCAGCTGCTCCTGGGAATGCTCCATGAGGACAATGCAAGCAGCCAGGGCAGTGTTGGACAGGGACCACTGTTTCTGCTAGTAGGGGGGCCCCTCTGCTGTGATAGGCCCTTTGTCTAGCACCTGCCACAAGGCACGCCTGGAGGGAGCAGGTGCAGGCAGGTCTGGCCTAGCCTTGGGTTTTATCTTGGCCATCTCCACTCAGCGGGAGTGGGTACCTCTCTCAGGGACCCTGAGAATCCTGAGACATTCAGGAGGATTATGCCTTGAAGGGACTTGGGAGGACTGCTCCTGGTGAGTAAGTTGGTAGGGTGAGAGGTGGGCCAGGCTAAAATGGGTCCCCCCCTTTTCTCTGCTCCCATCTTCACTCTCTTCCCCAGCCTTGACATCCTGTACTAGGCCTTGTCTGTGTCGTTGGTGGTCCTTCCACTGGACAGCTTGCTCCTCTCCTAGTGGGACAGTCCATCTGCTGTGTTCTCTTCCGCAGACAATCTGTTCCCTGACAGGTGTTAGGCCAGCACTGGGACCATGGTCTCCGGAGCCTTTCCTCCCTGCAGATGTGGCCTGCTGTGGCAGCAGCTGTGCCCAACATTTCTTCCCCCTCCTCCCACATTGTGTAGGCAGGGCTCTTCCTTCAGAGGCCAGCTTTGCTCCCCAGTCTAAGATCTGGGTTTCCCTGTCAGCTCCTCTTGTACGAAACTCCTTTAAGCTATTTCCTTTTCCGTAGCGTGTGCTGGTGAAGCCACACCTGCCTGTTCCTTGCAGGGTGGATCCTCCATTCCCCCATCTTCCCACTTCCTCAAAGCTTGTCTGGGTTCCTCCCGTTTTCCTCGTCCCTTTTCCGCAGCGGTTCTGCCTTTAGAGGACCACTTTAGGGAGCACTCTTGGGCCGCTGACCGGACCTGGGTCTGCAGGTATGCAAGGTGTGACGATCTCTCGCGCCCCAGGGTCCTGCTTCACCCTGTCCACCTCGGTTCCCGGTCCCTCTCCTCTTCCTTCACGCTCCGCCCCCCCGGGCTGCTCCCCGCCTCTCCGCGCCCCGCCCCTTTCTGTATCCGTCTTCTTGGCCTGGTTACCCCTCCCCCACCGCCCCTGCCCAGCGCGTCGTGCCCTGGGATCCCGGCCCTCAGTAGGCCCTACCGCCCAGGCTCCACCCCCGAGTCCCACCTCTCCGCTTAACCAATGGCACACTTAACTCCTTATAGTCCCGCCCGCCCGCCTCTCTGTCCCCGCCCCCCCACCGTCCCAGCCTCGGGCCTCGCCCCTTTCGGGTACAGCCGCCCAGGCTCCGCCCTGCGCCCGGCCAAGAGTCCACACGCATTGGGACCGTGCAGGCCCCGCCCCCCGCCTCGGCACTCATTGGCCGGCGCCGGCGGCGCGGGCGGGGGGCGGCGCGGAGCTGAGCAGGACGGCCGCCATCTTGCGCGGAGCCGGAGTCGGAACCCGAGACTGAGGCCGAGAGTGCGCGGGATCCCGCGGCCCATTTTAGCCGCGGCTTAGTCGGAGACTTTTCCTGCCGCCCTTCCGCGCCCGGCCCCTAACCCTTAGCCCGGCCCGGACCCCTGACCCTTATCCCGGCACGGTCCCCTGACCCTCAGTCCGGCCCGGTCCGGCCTCCCCGCGGGGTCACGCGGCCGCCCCGGGGACGATGAACGGAGGATAAATGGTGCCCAAGGCAGACAGCGGTGCCTTCTTGCTGCTCTTCCTGCTCGTGCTCACCGTCACCGAGCCGCTGCGGCCAGGTGCGCGGCGCGGTGGGCGCGGCGCGGTGGGGGCGGTGTGTGGGGGCGGGGCGGGGCCGGGCGGGCAATGTTCGGGGCCGGGGTCGCCCGGGAAGTCCCTCCACCCCGCGGGGCCGAGCCCCAGGAGGGCGCCGGCTAGGCCTGCCGCGAGCCGCCGCGCCCCCTGCCCGGGACCGTGCCCCTCGCCCGGGACCGTGCCCCTCGCCCGGGACTGTGCCGAGAGTTTACCTGGGCTCAGGGCGCCTCGTACATCATTGGAACTTTGTTCTCGAGGGATGTTACCTTTGGATCCGTGTTCCGTGGAGCGCTGCGTGCTTTGAGAATGACGGAAGCGAGAGTGATGTCCGTGGCCCGACCTAACTTCTGGGGCCTGGGAGTTCTTTGGCCAAGGAGCTGCGCCCCTGGGGCGCCCCCACCTTGCCCAGCGGCTGGGGTCAGGCTGGCGTTCCGGGGTCGAGAGAGCAGCTCGTGGAAGCATCTGGTTTCCCACGTTTTCCCTCAGCAGTGGTTTTGTGCCCGGGTCTCAGCCCTGGAAGCTCCTCGGCTGGAAAGCGGTAGCCGCGTTGCTTATTGTCAGTGAGGTGTTGCAGTTGAGAACTGCTCAGCTCAGAGACTGGCGGCCCACCGTGGTACTAGGAGTCCGCCAAGCATCGCACGCAGGAAGCAAGCTTCCTGGGTCAGAGACTGGTGCTGCGGCCGGGTTTCCGCCATCGGAGCCTGGACATTGCCAGGCACTTAGGAGTGATCCTTCAATGTGATAATTAAATGCTTCTGGAACTCCCCTCGGAACTTGTGTTTTCATAAGTAAGCTTGTGATGGGGAATCAGCAGCATGGCCACTGGAAAGTCCGGGATAATTTTTATTTCTACCTGTTCTTGTGTACCCCCTCCTCCATTGCACAACAAAAAAATCAAATCCCCATGTGCAGGGCGGATTTATCCATCAGGCACAGGAGGCCTGGTGCTGGGGACCCACAGTGAATGCTTTTAGTGGTCTCCTTTTAAAATCAGCGAGGAAAACCCCCTGACCTTTTAGGTCAAAGAAAATGTTATAGTATACACATACAGATTTATTGTCTTTATACCGATGCATTTGAAAGTATGATTCTTAATATTATCTTTTATGGAGGAAGGGGCCCATGAAAAGCAGAATTGTCCAGGGCCATTGTCTGTGAGCTCTGTCAGGTCTCTCTTAAAGGCCGGCTGGGGGACACAGTGGTGTGCCACTCTCCATAATGCCTCAGCGAGGGCTCTTACTGCAGATATGACACACCTCTCTGCCTTTGTCATCCTTACGGAGTTCTGTCTTCTCCCCAGTATTTACTTGGTGGCCAAGGCCCTGGGCCCATACTCAACCTGGAGTCACTCCAGTGATGCTCCTCTGGGCTCCCTGTAGAACTGGTTGCTCATTGCTTCTGATGGTTCTCTGCGCAGCAGGGTGACTGGTTGTGGGGTAGCCTTAGTGGGAATGGAAGCCAAAAAAGGCCTACATTTGGAGTATTGGAGTATTGAATGGGCTCTTGAGGACCAGAGCCGATGGATTTATGGCTTGTTGTGATTAAAATCTTTAGAAAAGATGTCTGCATCTGTAGAGTGGTGGGAGGAACATCATTCTGTTCTGGCTCTTGAGTCCCAGTTTTGCCTCTCAGCCCCTCAGGTGGACTCTGTGGGACCAAGCCACACATGCTTGTGTTCCTTGGGGTGCCTCTGGTTCCAGGTCCAGCATCTCCTGCCTGGATGATAGAGGTGACTGATGTCCCCAGCTCCCTTTCCTTTGCTGTCCATGTATCCTGCCAGCTGGCCAGCAACAGTTCAAAAAGTTTTCAGATGCTCACTGTTGCTCACTTGCCGCTAGGGATGCTCAAATGAACTGAATAAACCCCTTTCTCTAGGAGTGCCATTGAGGTATGGAAGCAGAAACTAGATGTAAATCAGATCTTCGGGTATGGGGGCTTAGAGGCAGGCAGCAGAGGTGGTGGACCAGTCATTTGTAGCAGGGGAGGGCTTCCTAGGAGACCTCATATTGAGGTCTGAGTTGGGGCAAGGAGGAAGCAAAGTTATCCTTAGCATTCCACGACTTTTCAGATCAGAACTTTGCAGTGGCTTCTGGTGGTATCTTGAGCTGCTCTGCGAAATCCTGGGGGACTCCACCTGGTTCCCTGATTTTGGCTGAGCAGCAAGGGCAGGTCTCATTTGGGGTCAGATGTTCTCCATGGGTGCTTGTATGTGCTCTGTGTCCTTCCAGGCAGAGGTCTGCTGGCTGGTTCTTGTGAGGGATACCTTCCCTGTCTTAATGTGCATTCTTTCTGTG